ACGTCCCCTTTTTTTTATTCAATTTTATACCGAATCAATTAAATCTCGTCCCGTGTTAAGCTTATTACATTTTTATTGAATAAATTTTAATTATTTTTCAAATGTCACAATTAAGTCCTGATAGCATTTATTTTTGTAGTGCGATGCCTGATCACATTGTTAAACGTGAAAATTTTGACTATTTCAAAATTTGACAAAAATTGACTAAGTAGCTAGATTTCGGGAGAGGATTCCAACGGTGAGATCCATTTTGTTATTCGTGTTCTAAAAAATTGAGTTTTTAACCCGTACCATAACGGTTACATACCATTTTACCCTTTTTAATAAAATTTTGAATTTTTCTGGGTTTTTCAAGTAGATTAACTGAATTCTTCTTAGACTAGTCTTTAAGGGAATTGAACAAGCTACCCGTGGAAGTAGTCTCTTTCTCCAGACTGCCCCTATGGCCATCTCGCAAGTTAATCTTCATCCTTGGGGCTTTGGACTGGCCTAGCTCCATCATGTTAATCATGGCGCTCTTTTCGAAAAGGGTCCTTATACATTTTCATCTTCGTCCTCGCTCTATTGTCAAAAATCAAGTGCCCCTTGTTCAAGCAATCATGAATGGCGTTATAGAACATCGTGTAGTTGTTGGTGGAATAACTGTATAGGTTTTGCCACTTTCAGTACATTTTTCCTTCTAGTTCACCAGCTGAAGGGATTTTTCAACCATATGCCAACTTTTATGATGTCGTTTGAATGAAGATGGTACAAAATTTGATCGGCCTTTGAATTATTAAATTCGTACTTTTGACCTATGTCGCTTTCTCCTTTTTTGCTCCATTGGAATTTTTTGTTTGGATTTGTTTCTCTAGGACCTTTGCAAGCACCTTGTACACATATGGTCATCTGACCACTATTTCACCAACATTCACCTCATTGTTTTGGTCTTGCTCAACCGTAAGTATGTCGGTGTTGGGATCTTGATAGTAAATTCCTTTTGAGACATTCTTGTGATCTTTTTGTTTGTGAAGTTTTTGCTCATAACGAGTTACCTAAGTCATCAATTCAAACAAGTCACCCAACTCCATGCATTCAAACTTCTTGCATAGTTCGAATCCTAGCCCGTTTTGTGCAATCTTCACATTCTGCATCTCGAACAATGACAACCAACATCTATTTATGTCTTTCTTCAATTGCACTATATATTGCTTGACTGACTCACTAGTCATATAGTATAATTTGGCTAAGTCAACCATGGCTACTTCTGACTCTGTCTTGTACAATTTGGCATGAAACTTATCCTCTACTTGTTGCCACCTTAACACTAAGTTAAGTGGAAAATCAATGTACCATTGAAATGTGGTTCCTGTTTAGGAATTCGTAAACAACCTTGGCTTTACGAATTCATTAGTGCCTACCTTACTACACTTTGTCCAATATGTTTGACAGTTGATTGACTGTCTTTCCCTGAGATCGTAGCAAAAATTGGCACTTTATGTCCATAGGGTACTCGTGGTCTCTATCCACCCAATCTAGATAGGGCTTACAATACGTTGGCCTAGCAACTTATCGCATCGCAGGGCCAACATTCTCTTGCATGATCTGTTCACAATCACTTGAGACACTATAGGAACAATGATTAGTGCCTATCCCGATTGCCCGCCCCCCCATTTCAGGAATAGATGGTATGTCATCTTGAAAAAGGGGATTGTTGGTCCTTCACAAGCCATTCCTTGCTCGTTGAGCCCTTGGTAGTGCAAATACAATGGAAGCACAAGTTTCGGCACCTCAACTAGTGTGACTATTGAAAAAGGTGGTTGCTGCCTTATAACCCTTTGTCAATTCAACATCTCAAATAGTCACTCCAGTGTAGGAAGGTTGTTGATGAAACCTAACATCTGTTGAGAAACCTCCTATGCAAAAACTCTAAGTGAGGCCTCTGGTTCCAGGTCAAATTTTCGATTTTCTTGCCCCCTAGTGGAGGCAACTCTTCTTGCAGGTTGGGAATGCCAGACCACCTTTTTCAAACATTTCTTACCCTAGTGGCACATCTAAGAAACTTGACTTCCCCAATCCACGCATTGATGTCAAGCTGCTCTAGAAAGTTTCGTCATGCATGCCAAAAAATGTCTCGTCGATTTTCTAATTATGGGCATGCCAAAGTTCGAGTGGACTTAACGATTGCAAATAGTACGACTTTACTTACTTGAACTAATGTAAGGTTCTAAGTCATAATTGTTTATGCGACTATAGCGACACTTAAAGCTACCTTTGGATTCTTTTCTACGTCTTTGGGATCAAGGACTTCTACTATTCTTTTGGAGAATAAATAACATTAAAGGACAAACAAAATGAAATTGGTTAACCATAGTGGGCGTAACCCAATGGAATGATTTTATTAAATATTATGCTTGAAATAAAACTAAATGTAATCACCAGATTAAGGGCGAAATTTACAAATAAAGCAAAAGGAAATGATATAAAATTGAAAAATGTAGACGTATGTATGGTATGCTATTTTTGGATTGTTGATGTTGGATGTTCTCTTCTAGCTCATCTTTTTATATTTATAGGTGATGGAGAGAGGAGACTAGTGGGCCTGGTAATTCGTGGCTTATGTGTGGGTTGTGTTTGTGCTTTGTGTGCTTATGTATGAGAGAGAGAGGTGGACATGGTGGTCGATCGAAGTGGGATTTTGGGTTTGGGAAAGATAAAGTACAGAGAGGATAGTGGATGTATTTTTTTGTTTTATGTCTATTTGGATATGTGTTGGATATATTTTGTGATTAGATTGTGTTGTCCTAGGGTTAATTTTTATTAGATTATGGGCTTAGGTAAAATGGTCTTTTTATTGTTTCCGCCAGCGTGTCTTCAAACCATTATTTATAGGGGTGTCAACAAAAATTCCGATATCTAAAGGGGTCCGTGTGTATTAGAGGCCAACCTCAGAGTGCCTATATGTAATTTATCAAAAAAAAATTATTTTGCCACAAAAACTATGTATATTTTTTCACTTCATCTCGATACGTTGATAATTTTTATTCAAAAAGATAACGGATATTTGCATTTGAGGCAATGTAAAAAATTTCAAGTAGTTAAGGGTGTAATGTGAAAAATAAAATAGTTCACAAGGAAAAATGCAATTGAGACCATAGTTAAGGGGCCAAAGTGTAATTTGCCCTAGTTATGCCCAACATGGTAATTAACCCCAAAAAATTCAAAACCGAATAAATACATATTTATACTAGCAATAAAAGTACCTTAAGTGAAAATTTTTTGATTCACTATTTTACCCTTATAAAGAATTTTAAATACCATTTTATCTTTATATAGTTAAATATCTAAATAACAATCACAACTTTATGTATTTAAATTTTCAAATTACCCTTTAACATCTCCTTTAATTCTTTAGTATTTGTGTATAAATCAATATCTATGAAAAATTTTAATTGACTACGCAACTCTTAAAAAAATATATACATCATTATAGTTTTCAAAAACGTGTTCTAAAAGTTTATAAATAGATCATTGCTCTTTTCAAATAAAAAACAATTTTATGTCTATATATATGTATTTTTTTCCATTTATACTACTAATAATTAATATTAATACTATACTACTAATAAAAGTACCTTAGAATGAAAAATTTTTGATTAACTATTTTACTCTTATAAAGAATTTTAAATACAACACTATCCTTCCGTAGTTGAATATCTAAATTACCATCATATACTTATGTGTTTAAATCTTCAAATTACCCCCTAACATCTCTTTTAATTCTCTCTTCATTGTGTATAAATATCAGTATCTATGAAATTTTTTAATTAACTATATTACCCTTAAAAAATATATGCATCATTATAGCTTTCAATAAAATGTTCAAGAAATCTTTAAAAACTTCATCAATCTAACATTATTCATTTAAAATATAAAGATAACATTATGCTTATATATGTGTATTTTGTTTTATCTAAAATTTCAGCAATTTCATTTTTAAGATAAAAAAATGAATTTTGTGTAGTTTTTTTTTAAAAATAATTTATGTTAAATCAACATAATTCTTTAATCACAGTAAATTTTTTATGTTTTATTAAGAATTTATATAAAAAAAAATTAATGTATTTTTGAATAAAACTTAAAATTTAGAATTTTAATATTCTTTTAAGCTATATATTATAAAATAGTATATTATATTTTAGTATTAATAACACTTTTAGTCTCTCAAAATATGCATGCCATATCAGTTTGGTTCTCATTATCAATTTTGTCAATTTGATCTCTAAAATATTTAGTTAGTATTTAAATAAAATATAATCTATTAAATTTTTGATAAAAGTGATCACGTGATAGTCACCTGATACTATCTGACGGAATGATATGTGGTCACTTATATAAAAAAAAATTAATGATCTGACTAATTAGGGACTATTTAAACAAAAATTGAATATTTTATGGATCAAATTAACAAAATTCATATATTGTGAACGAAATTGATAAAAAATGCATACTTTAGTGACACAAAATTTTATTAACCCTATATTTTGTCCCTATTGACCTAACTAATTTCTAATTATAGTAAACATTGATTATAATATTTATAATTATTGTTATTTTATTCTATAAATTATAAGTTAAAATCTAATTAAATGAATTTAAAATTAGTTATTTTTATCTTTTTTCTTATAATTAGAACAAAGAATTATTGAAAACAAACAATATTTTATAAATTTTATAGTATAATATGAGTGATAAAAATATAACTTTGATAAACTTAAGATCATATTTAATGTATGTACACATATACCTAATATTTTTTATTTTTATTTTATATAAAAAAATTATTTATGTGCAACATTTCTAGGAAATAGAAAAAGAGAAAATGGGTGGGCGGCGATTTGTGCACGAAGTGTTTTTGAAGTTTGCCGCCTTCCCCCATTCCCCGGAGACCTTAGGCTTTTCGATATCCTCTTCCCAATCACTGCCACAAAATCCTTTGTTTGCAATCAACCATCTCCAGAATGGCTTCAACCTCTCCTCTCGGAATCATTGAAGAGGATGATGTAAGTCCATCTCATCTCTCTGTCTGTCTGTCTGTCTGTCTGTCTCTGTCTCTCTCTCTCTCTCTCTCTCTCTCTCTCTCTCTCAGCCATTCTATCTTTCTTTAGGAATTTGACTGGGAAGCAGCTGTGGAAGAGATCGACGTGGCTTGTCAAACCACCACTGAGCCCTCAACTCAGCACCTAATTGATACCCATCAGCTGTCTATTAAAACCCTTTATTCTAATACCCATGAAAAACCGAAATCTTCTCGGCAAACCACTATCGATAAATTTATTGGATGTGAAGGCTCGAGTTCGATACCTCAACCAGGAAATTGGAATGTAAGGAATGATAATGAAGAGAACGTTGATGGTGATGAAATGGTCAGATGCGATAAGACTGACGCTGGGGCAGCCAATGTTAATATTGATGCTGAGGCAGCGAAAATATGGATTTACCCAGGTTTTATATAATGGATTATATGTTAATTTGCTACTTTTTGATGGTTCATAATTGTGTTTTTGGGTAATCTATGAATATGGGTTTTGCTGAAAATGTTGAACTTTTAAAATTTTTTTGGGATACGTTTTCCTATGATCTTCTTTTGTGGTGGATAACTGGGCTTTTTCGGTAACTTGTAGAGATGGGTGGCGTTGAAAGAATTTAAAATTCGATTACCTTATTGGATTTTTCGTGAAGCCCTATACTATCTTGCTATTCTAAATATGACATACTCTGTTTATTTTACTTTCCTTTTGTGTTGGGTAAGTGAGATTTTGAACTTTTGTGGTGATAATTGTACTGAAATTATTTACATTATTACTAGCATCTACTCGTGCGGCCACCCCAACCATCAACCCTACAGCCATTCCGACCCTAACATTATTGGAAAATTGCTCATCAATGCCCTTAAATATTTAAAAAAATAAAAATAAATGTGAAATAATTAAGAAAGATGACGACAAATTCAAATTCAAAAGTAATTTTTTTTAACTGAATTTGAAAGTATTTTGAAAAGATATATGCTAACGGAAAAGAGATAGAATTACAGATGTATTGGGTATCCAACTATCCATAGAAAAATATTAGGAGCATTTTGGAGTTAAGTTTCTAGGTTGTGAGAATTGATTGGATGTTGGTTAATTAAATAATTTTAAATTCTTTTAGATTAGAAAAAAGGGAGGGAAGACTTCTCAATGCCCTTTTCTAGCAAATTGTTTGTTTTATATATATAGATAGATTCTTCAGTTGGGTTCTAGCTAAAGGAATAAGTTTCTCATTTTTCTAACCAAATATATCATACATTACTAAATGATTTTCTATTTTTTTTTTTTTATAATTTTGAGTCTAGGAATATTTTGATTGTCGAATTGGGTTTTTTGACTAAGGAGCTAGATATATGGATGAGATAATGTAAGAAATGCTTGTCGGAGAGAGGATATACAAAAAGGATACCTTATTGTTGAAGTAGGAAAATATCAAATCATATGAGGTCGTACATAGTGGACATGAGTTTGGAAAAGAAAGATGTTGAGGAGTTTGTTTTAGATTTTGCAGCGGCTTATGTTCTCATCATAAAGAGAGGAACATTTAACAATCTTTAATAGTGGATCAAGTAAGTGTTAAATATTTTTTTATCATTAGAAAAAGGGATCATTTATCAAGTAAGGATTATAATATCATTTCCAAAGAGAGCTTGATCATGTAATATAGGATAATGATTCTAGATTTATGTACTAAAAAAATTCACGATAAATAAAAAAAGTAGGTATTGGAATTTAAAAGGAGAGAAAATGATAGAAATCGAAAAGGGATTGGATGAACTTAAATTTAATAATTGAATTTTCTTATTTGTTTTAGTATTATTTTATTAGTTAAGGAATATTTGTTTGACTAGGAGTAGTAATTAGAATTTGATTAGGAAATTGTTATAGAGTTTTAGTAGGATAGGGATTTGAGAGTTTGATTATGAAACTCTTTTAGTATTTTAGTGGGAAAGTAATTTTTATTTTAGTAGGGAACTTGGCCTATAAATAAAGGTGTGATCCCAATTATTTTAATTAGAGAGATTATGAATAAGAATTGAGTATTCTCTGCGTAGATTTGTGTGTTTCTTCACCGATTTCTTACGAGGATGAGGTAAACCCCTTTCACCCCTTCTTCTTTCTTCTTCTCTTTCTATTCTGTGATTTCTAATCCTTCCTGTTCTACATCAATTTGGTATCAGAGCCCAACTTCGATTCGTACAAAAAAAAAAAAAAAAAATTTGCAGCTATGGTCATCACCACTGTTCACAAGTAATGTTCATCGACCCTGTTCACAGGGTACTGTTCATCGGTTGGATAGTTAAAAAAAAAAAAAAAACTCTCCCAACAGATTTAGAAAATTGCAGCAACATCTCAGCTGTTTCAGAAATTATAGAAACATCCCAGAAAGTTTCAGAAGTTGCAGAACCACCGCCAAAAGTTTTAGAAATTACATAATCTTTCCCCTAGAAGTTGTAGAATTGTAGAAACATCCTCAACATATCCATAAAATTATAGAATCATCCCCAAAAAGTTTTAGAATTTTCTTTTGATTATGATGGTTTTCAACGCCGAATTAAATGCTAAAGTGGAGGCTTTATCCCAAGCACAAATTGATTCACAAAATGCCATGAATGAGAGGATGGATTCACTATAGGCATCTATAACATCACTAAAGGAGATCATGGAAGCTTATCTCTTAGATAAAAAGGGTAAAGGAGTGGAGATGCATGCAAATCATGATTCCTCCTCATCGGCTATCAATCAACAACCAATGCTCGCACAAGTTCCTCCACAACTGCAAGTTCCAGTTCAATTGAATGATGAGCTGAAATCAGATATTGTTGATGAGCTTAAAAGTTCTCCTCATTATACATCAATTGCTTTTGATAAGCTAATCTCAAAGGATGTTCGTACAAAGAAGTTAAAGGAGTTTCAAAGGGTGTCACTACAAATGGAGTTGCTATTTTGTCTCCACTGGAATATATGCTTCCTTCACCTATAGTAGTGTATGTGGATAAGACTGTGATGGATGCAATGCACGAAGGGATTACTTTCTACTGTAGAGATCTACAATGCTATTTTCTTGGAACACAAGCTTTTTTAAATTTTTTGGAGTACTTGTGGCCTTCCAACTATTCGGAGTAGAGTTTTTTTCAGCCGAGGAGAATTGATAGAGATCGAAAAGGGATTGGATGAACTTAAATTTAACAATTGAATTTTCTTATTTGTTTTAGTATTATTTTATTAGTTAAGGGATATTTTTTTGACTAGAAGTAGTAATTAGAATTTGATTAGAAAATTGTTATAGAGTTTTAGTAGGATAGGGATTTGAGAGTTTGATTATGAAACTCTTTTAGTATTTTAGTAGAAAAGTAGTTTTTATTTTAGTAGGGAACTTGGCCTATAAATAAAGGTGTGATCCCAATTATTTTAATTAGAGAGATTATGAATAAGAATTGAGTATTCTCTGCGTAGATTTGTGTGTTTCTTCACCGATTCTTTGCGAGGATGAGGTAAACCCCTTTCACCCCTTCTTCTTTCTTCTTCTCTTTCTATTCTGTGATTTCTAATCCTTCCCGTTCTACATCAGAAAATTAAATTATTTAAAGATAAAATGCTTAAAGAGGCAATATGTAATGTAGAAGCATAAGCTAATACAATGTAGAGTATGATGATTGTGTTAGAGCATCTAACCCAAAACTAATTGGTAATGAGGGATGTGGTTCCTCAAGTATACTAATTGGTAATGAGTGATGTGGTCCCTCAAGTATATAAACCATTGTTGGGTAGTCATAATCATTCGATGTGTGCTAGAAATTATGTTTACGGATTGTATGCGTTAGAAGTTTCTATGAAGTGATTCTTGGGGAATCAAAATGAAATAGACTATTAGCTAAGAAACTTGATGGAGGAATGGTAAAGTCAATATCATACTGATAACAAAAAGAATGTGTCATACAATAGGATAAGAAAGCTTTGATAGAGATAAATTTGTAGACAAAAAAGTTGAAAATTAGTAAGAAGTTATGTATAAAACAAATGTTGGTCTTGTTTCTAAACTAATTACGTCTATTAAGAGGAGGATTAAAATGTTTTGGTACAAGACAAGGAGATTAAAAAGGGCCAAAAAATGAAAATTATATAGGAAACTTAGGTGTTGAAGAATATAATAACCATAGGCAAATAAGAGGAAATAAGTTTTCCATAAAATTAGGATGATCGAAGTAAAGTATGTGTTAAAAAATGGGAAACAAATTTCTTTTTTGGGATGTGATGTTATAACCATTAAGGATTGGTAATGGGATGTCATAGTATTTTGTGTAACCATTTTTCAATGTGTAATAAAAAAAATGCAAGATGAGTGGAGACAGAAAAATTAGTACCCATATATAAAACTGAGAGATTTAGAGTTTTACGAATTATCTAGGTATCAAATTAGAGAATTTTCGATAAACTTTAAGAGATATTAATCGAGTAATGAGTAAAACTTGAAATTACGGTATCTAAGTTTTGAAGTATAAATACTAAAGTTACATCTTCTCTAATAGTTTAAACTTTTGAAGTAGATGATTGCTTAACATGGTGTCAGAGAATCTGTTGAAGCATAAATACTAAAATTATACCCTCTCTTACAACTTAAGCTTTTAGAGTAGATGGTTGTTTAACACTAAGAATTGTTAGAATTTAAAAACAAAACATATTTTATCACAATATTAACATTAACAATAAGACTTAGCAAATATTAATTTTTTGATTAAAATTGAAATATATTAATATAAATATTGATCATGTTCATTAAACTTCATTATATTCATTAGCATTCATAGTACATAAGTTACATAACAAAAAACATAAAGACAAAATAAAGAAATCCTAGACCCTCTTAATAGTTAACAATCATGAGATTAAAAAAAAATGCAAGTTGTATCCTGATCGTGCTCTCGTCGTGTTTGACTAAAAAAAAATTGCTATTCAGGATAGTTTTAGTCGTGTCAGACATGCATCCGGCCATGTTCGACGCATGTTTGTGTTGGACATGTGTTTGGCACACCTTCAACAAGTATTTGTGCTTCCTAGATGTCTATATACCTAGGCGAGTAATGGAAAGATGCAAAAAGAAAAATAGTACTCTTTATTTAGTTTCCACAGATTCAAAGCAGGTGGATCATGGAGGCCCTAAGTATAGAAGGTGGTACTTTGGAGGAAAAGTGAGTTATAAATAAGTAGACATATTTAAAGATGTGTATGAGAGTGTTGTGCCTATAATAAGAATTGCATGAGAACCTAATTAATTTCTAAATTCTAATTGTTGGAAGCTTCTTAGGGATCAATCTTAAGCCCATATTATTGGGTCTTATTATGGATGAATTAACTACATACATTTTTGGTGAGGTTCCGGGGGTATTTATTTGTCAATGATATAGTGTTAATTGGTGAAATTCAAGTTTGAAGCATGAAGAGAAGCTTTAGAGGGTTTAAATGAGTAACGCCAAAATCGAATATATATTCAATATAACATTGGTAAAAGTCTCAATCCCAGTGTTGGGAGCTGATAAATTGATGATCAAAAATACACAGAAGAGTTCACAGTTTTGAAATTTGGTTCAAGTTATTCATGCGAGGGTGAGATTGGAGATGACAAGACTTGTAGGATTATAGTGGGATGAGCTAAATAGAAGAGTGCATTTGGTTTATCATGTGATTGACAAATACCTCTTAAGTTGATAGAGAATTTGTAATATTGTTAGAAGGCCAACCATGTTTTATGACACAATAGGGGCATTTGTATAACAACATGTTCAAAAACTAAGGTGCCATTTGGTAACCTTGTGTTTTTGTTTTTGTTTTCATTTTATGACTAAAAAAAACAAAAACGCGTTTGGTGAATGTTTTTTTTTTAATTGCTTTGTTTTGAAAACAAGGCTAAAATATGAAAACATCCAAAATAATGTTTTTGAAACATCAAAAAAAAAATGCGTGGTTTAAAATGTCTCATTTAATGATATCCTAACTTCAATTCTCCTTATCAACAAAAAGTGGATTTTCTTGTTTTAGTATAAAAAGCCCTTCTCTTCACTTTTTTTTTTTCTAGATCTCTCAACTCTCTCTTGCCCTTCTCTGATGGGTTTTGCTGGGGAGTTGCTGGGTTGGGTTTTCGAGGTGGCTGTGGGGTTGGGTGGTGGTGGATTTCGGGGGTGTATAGTAGGTGGTGGTGGGTTTCGGGGATGAGTATTGGGTTTTGCTGGGGAGTTTCAGGGGTGGGTAGTGGGTTTTGGTGGTTGTGGTGGTGGGGTTGGGGGTGGGTTTTGGTGGTTGTGGTGGTGAGTTTTGGTTGTTGTGGTGATGTGTTTCAGTGGAGGGAGAGGGCTATGGGTTTCGGTGGTGGGGTTGGGGGTGGGTTTTGGTGGTTATAGTGGTGGGTTTCGGTGGTTCGGTTGGGGGTGGGTTTCGGTGGTTACAGTGGTGGGTTTCGATGGTTGTGGTGATGGGTTTCAGTGGTAAGGATGGGCTATGGGTTTCGGTGGTGGGGTTAGGGGTGAGTTTTTATAGGGGGGTTGGGTGGTGGGATTTAGGGTTGGGTGGTGGGGTTTGTGGGGTGAATTTTTGGTATAATATCAAACAGGTTTTTTATTTTTGTTTTCATCATTTTTTAAATATAAATGACTACCAAATATGTTTATATTTTTAATATTTATCAAAAAAAAAAAATTTAGTTCTATTTTTTTATAAAAAAATAATGTAAATACGAAAACGTTACCAAACGCACTCTAAGTGTGGTTGAAATGCAAATGCAGTAAGAAAAAAAATGATGAATTTAAATATTAATATGTTCTTTAAATGGTAGAAGTAGCATTGATAGAGATAAATTTAGGGGGAATTGTCTAAGATGGTTCTCATTGGTGCAACTATAGGTGTCTAAGAACACCTATAATTGCACCAATTAGAGAGCGGCATTATATCTACTAATAGTAATGTTAGTGACAAAGGTGGACCACAATGAATATTGATTGAGGTAAATAGAGAAGGATATGAAAGCTTAAAGATTAATAGAGAATTCTGGTTTGATACTTCGATACAAAGTACCTAAGAAGCACGGATAAGGACACAAGGATACGAAAAAATTCCAAAATATAGGATACAGGTACGTCAATGATACGACTAATTAAAATAATGTTATATATTTTTTATATAAATAACAAGATTAATAATAAGACCTAAGATGATTGAGTGGTGGTTAATATCTTATAATTTTACAATTGAACAATGGGCTAATGTGTAGAATTGGGCAGTTGGCTAATACTAAATGGAGATGTGGGCTAATGCCAAAGTGGGCTGTGGGTAAATTTATTTGATAACTAATAAATAAATTATACCAAAAAAAAGAACAATATTAAAAAGGAAAAAGAAAAGAGAAAAGGAAAGCCTCTGTTAAAATAGAGAGATAGAGAAAAGAAAAAGAAAAAGAAAGGGGCAATAGATGATGAGAGAGAAAAGATAAAGACAAGGGCAGCCAATGACGAGAGAGAGAAAAGAAAAAAGAAAAAAGAAAAAAAAAAGGCAGCTTACCGCTGACGACACCCATAGGAGATCTGAAGTAGAGATCATTAAAGTAGAAGGGAACAAGAAGAAGGATAGATGAAGCAGATCTGATTGCAAATTGATCGCTGAAGCCGTTGTCTCCTTTTGAGGCAGATCCGAAGCAGATCCGAGGCTCTCAGCTTAAAGCAGATTCGAAGTCTTCGACTTGAAGCAGATCCAAAGCCTTCTCCTTTTCTTCTCTACTCTCTGTCCAAGTTTCTTTTTTTTTTTTCTCTCTTTTTTCTTAGCCCTGTATCCTCCTGTATTCCGACGTATCTGAGCCGTATACGGCTACAAAAATCCATCTTCACTGTTTAGGACACCTGTAGAAGTGTTGGACACATGTCCGACACTGCCACGTTGACCTCCCGGCGGGTATTCGTGCTTCCTAGCAAAGTACCATAGAGAAATATATTTAGGTAGACAATCTTGAATAATTGGGATAAGACTTTGTTGAGTTGAGTCTAGGAATATCTTGCTCTTACAGTTTTACCAAGTTATTGCTCAAAACAATCTTATGTGGACCATGTACCAATTTGGTACGTGCTATGAGCATGGGTACACCGTACACTACATTCTCTGATATGCAGTGCAATGAGGCTAGAGTAAGCTTAGTTGGTGTATTATTTTGGGTTGCAATTCGCTTTGGAAATCTTATTTGGATCGCTTTGACTAGTATACATAATTATTTATAGTTAAACCTTCGTACACACAAAGTCAAGCTCAATATCTATTCTATACTCGTGACAAAAGTTTTAAAGCGATCTGGGACCCAAAATAGCATATCAACTAACAATGGTGAATAAGAAAAGTTGATGGTTGCAGATTGTATTTTATATATCTCTTTGATTTCTTTAATCCTTCGACTATTCTGAGAATTTGATCTTTCTTCATTTTTGAGACAATTTAGGAATTATGGTTACCATTTGAGGTTACCTTGATTTTGGGTCCTCTTGGGGTTAGGGTTACCCTTGCTAGTTACAATTTGGGAATTTGATCTTTCTTTATTTTTGGGACAATTTAGGAATTATGGTTACCATTTGAGGCTACCATGATCGTGGGTCCTTTTGGGGTTAGGGTTACCCTTGCTAGTTACAATTTGGGATAACAAGTTTGGCAATCTAGGTGGCAAACACACCTTGTTTGGGGTCGGGTGACCCAGAATTTCAGTTGCATGGTATTACACGCCACTGTTGTTATTACCAATGAATGTTTTGATGAGGCAGTAGATTTGGATAATGAATTTCATGTTAAATTTTGTTACATAAGGCATATATCTTACTTTCTAATTTCATTTCAGTGAATATTCCTCTTCGTGACTATCAGTTATCTATGACCCGGACGGCTCTATTTTCAAATACCTTGGTGGCGTTGCCAACAGGATTGGGGAAAACTCTTATTGCTGCTGTTGTAATGTATAATTATTTCAGATGGTTTCCAGAAGGTGATGCAATGTTTCGTCTCACTTGGTCTCTGTTTTTTCTGAACCTTAACTCTTGATTTATTTCCTTCACCCTTTCCCATTTTATACAGTGAGTGATTTTGGTTGGTTCTTTTCACAGTATAGGTAAGTGTTGCTAACTGCTGACACTGACTTGTTGGTCATGGGCATAGAACAATGCATTAACTTGGTTTTTAAAAAACATAGTAACTTCAATTAGTTCATTGGTGTTCTTTTATGTTATTTCTGCTCATGAGTGTGAATAGTTTTTGGTGCATCTTTTTTTTTGTACACCTATATTTGTTTATATATGTGATAACTGAAGTATACGAAATGATCACACTCAAATTTTTATTGATCAACAACAAAACATAGATTTTTTAATTATTAAAAATGGGCAGATGAAGGATGCAAGATACTTCAGAAAGCACGGAAAAATGAACATTAAGTGATAGCTGGTATAATTTTGTGCCAATCAACTTTTACAAGCTAGCATGTCGTTGAGTATATTTCAATTGAACTTGACTTTTTCTTTTGTCCTCCTGAAGAAAATTGTTGAATTAAGAAATCTTCCACAGTGTGTGGGTAGTGGTCAACATTTACAGGCATAAAAAATCTGCACCTCCGTAGCAAGAGGTTTTTGCCAGATGTATCACACTTGACATGCACACTTGAAATGATGAATTAGCACTTTGGGAGACATGAAGGATATCTTTTGTTCATGTAAAATTAATGTTATAATCTCTTCAAACACTGTTAATATCTGAATGCAACTGAAAGTTGTGAGGGGGGTGAGAAAATTCTCTTAAGTCTGCTTGATAGAGAACGAAAAGGAATTGGATAAGCTTGACTTGAAGCGTTTTACTTTATTATTTATTTTAGCGTTATTATATTATTTAGGAAGTATTTCTTTGATTAGGAAACTATTTTAAAGAGTTTGATTAGGAGATTTAGATAGAGTTTTACTAGGAGAGTAGTTTGAGAGTTTGATTATAAAAGTCTTTTAGAATTTTAGTAGGAGAGTAGTTTTTGTTTTGGTAAGAGACTTGGCCCACCTTTTTTCAATTGTAGTTCTCTTTCCCATTCATCTGATCCCTCTTAAAAAAAGAGTCTGGTCCGGTTCTTTCTTGAATGTGAAATCGTTTTAGATTGTGTCCAAGTGAAAGGTTGTCCGTACCTTATATTATAAATGGTACTGCACTAAGCATCAAGGAAGTGAGGACAGGGGGATTGGATGTGGTCTGCATCAAAGGCCATGGATCAAAAGTGTGAAACAAACAGGTCCGGTATGCTTCTTGGTCGGAAGAATGGTGGAAAGTACTTGGCACTCATGATCAATTGTGTGGATTGTGATACTTACCTTTTCATGGGGAGATGTCACATGCCAGCTGGAAAGGGGCCCCGTGTATTCAGAAATTAGGTCCACTTGTCAGGGTTGATGTGTATTGTCCACCGGTCAACAGTCCCCCCACTTGATGTTGAAAAGATTGCCTCTAATAAAAATTTATTGAAATGTTTCACCCATATTCTTTTGTTGAGTGTAATATGAAATCCTATTTTGTATGGGCTGGTGATTTCCCATGAGGGTTGGATGGTGCAAATGGTTTCCAAGATCAAGTAGATCGTTTAGACTAGATCACTGAGGAAATCAGTCAAGGCACCCTCGGAGCTAACTATTGTAATCCAAGTTGTCTCTAGCCATAAGTCCATTATTTTGTACAATTTCCCCTTTCAGTTCCATATATCCATTGATATTTTTCTCTAAATGCTCATCAATAAGGGAAAAACTAAACCCAGGCCACCGTCTTTTGGCAACAGGTTCTTCATTTAAAATTAGAATAGTGCATGCTATTTCTGCAAATCCAACCTGTGTTAGGAATGTCGAGTGAACTTGCCTAATAAAAATAACGATTTTGCAGGAGTACTCTTGATGTGCGTGGAGGCATTGTGGTAATTTCTGGAAAACAAACCTAGCAAAATTACCACTGTAGCCATCCAAGAATTTAGGATATATGCAGCCTTTTTTGTGGTAGTTTGGAGATATCTGTTTCTATCTTCTAATCTTCTAGACATTGCCATGGTCACTAAGTTTCACATTAGGGACAAAAAGAGGGATTATTTTGTCAAACCAAAGTGTATTTTTTTCTTTGCCACATTCGACAGCTATACTGCAGTCAATAAATTTCTTCTGTAAGCTCTTCCAATGGGAAGAAAAGGAAGTTGTAGAATGATTAGTATGGCAAGTGAGTAAATTGAATAAGCACCAAGTTGTGGGTTGTTATGGCAACTTGATTAAGTTTTTCTTTTTTTTTTGGGCAGGTTTTATCTTGATCTAAATAATGGTTTTTTTTATTTTTTTATTTATTTTAAACTTGATTAAGATTGGACATGAAGCAACCTGTTTTCTTCTCTGCTATTTAAGTCCCCCTTTCTCTCTTTTCTTGCCCGTGGGAATGTTCTCTCTTCCTGCTTTTGACGATACAGCTCATTGTCTTTTGTATCTTAGTTTTGGTTCTCAATAAATTGTTCTTTTTATCCCCTGTTGAAGGGAAAATTTTCTTATATTTTAGAAGAAATAGCGCTCTCTCATAATATTTCAGTACCTCTTGTTGACATAGATTCCAATGTGATAATAGAGCATATTCGCAAAGGATTTAAGTGTTGGTTGTAGTTTCAATTGGATTTCAATTTAATGTCTAGACGGACAATGATCTGATTTTAAAAGCTATTTACTAAAAGATTGAGTTGGCTTTCCAAGTTTCCCTAGAATGATAGTTTTGTATCATGCTGATGTATAGTGATTTATTTGTTACTGGTGTTTCCATGGCAGGAATGATTGTTTTTGCTGCTCCTTCTCGACCACTTGTTATGCAGCAGATAGAAGCCTGTCATAACATTGTGGGAATACCACAAGTAAGGCACCGTCTTCATTTTCCCATGAGATAGTTTGTCAATTTTGGGTTTTTACTTGAAACTTACATTTTCTTAATCATTTCACATATTTTGAGAAGATACATTTTAAACTGATTGCAGGAATGGGCAGTTGATATGACAGGTCAAACAAGTCCTACGAGAAGAGCATGCCTCTGGAAAGCTAAACGGGTTTTCTTTGTTACCCCACAAGTGCTGGAGAAGGATATTCAATCTGGTTAAAATCTCTAGACTCTAGCTTCAACATAATTTTGAAGGCAGATGTGTCATGTCCTTTTCATAGGGGATATAGGAGAGCACTTTAGAATAATTTGAAGTTTTAGGTTTGTTGGATGAGTTTCGTATTGGGAATTGTGAGGAGCTTTTTTCAGTGTTAGGGAGAGGATTTTGTGAAATTGTCCTAGTCCTTAGGCGTTAGTTGACAATGAAGATAGTGATAGAAGCATAGAGTCACAAATCTTACTTCTGGATACCAAATCCTGTTTAGTAGGTAAAGCTCACAAAGAGTGTAGGATTGTGGAAAATGGGTTCATGAATGCAAAATTAATAGAAGTACTGAAGCACAAATATGGAAATTCCTCTAAATGTTTTTGAAAAACTGGTTGGATGTTTGCTACACTGTTTGTTGAGGGGGGGATGGGGGTTGGGTAAACAAGTGAAATTATTAACTTAACCCAACTTATCGTGGCACTTCTCTTCTTCCTCTGTTTACTATATTCAGTTAATAATCAACCTCAATGAAACTAAACAGAGCTTTAAATATGAATCACTTGGGGCTCTATGTGAGTTCTGTTTCTTCCATTCAGCTCTATGTCAGTTAGCTACGGATTAAGCCAACAAAACCTCTGAGATGAACGAGCACTAAAAAGTGGAGAATGAGTGCATAATACAAGCTATCTATAGGGGCATGCTTATGTTAGTTTCTCAGATTCTGTTCATGATTATGCTTATTTAATGTAAATTCTGGTGGGCATCAGATTCAATTTAGACCGCAGTTGAAAATGTGGGCACACAGCTTATACTCTGGTGAGGGTGTTACATGTCAATGTTTGATGTGGGGACTGCATTCATTCAGAAGCAACCATGAGATATAAGGAACAGATCAATTCTATGTAAGATATTATGCAGGGAGCTAGAGTTAATAGACACCCTCGGTGACTGCTTATCCAGTGGCACATATTGGACCAATATCACATATCCTTATCTAGGTAGAATGGGTGACAGAAGTTTCTAGGCATGGAGAAGATTCTGTGCAACATGGGTATTTGGTTCTCTTTGATACGGTTATTTTGTTAGAGTTCTGTTTTTAAGATTTCTAATATGGTTGGGTTAGGAGATTTTTATTGTGCTGGAATCCTAGCTGTTTAGGAACTTTTGTTTTGCTGGAGCTTGAGTCATTTGGGTTACTGTATTGAGTGGCACTGTTTATAAGCAGTCCATGTACCTTTATGGTTTGTAGAGCCTATAGTTGGGTTTGTAGATGTAAAACATGATTGGACTTTATTGAATGGTTTTTTTGGTCAATGGAAGTCTAAGAACCATATATTGATTTTGAGTACTGATCTGAGTGAATCAGTAATCTACGTAATCTTTCCGTTAGCCTTTTTTTTTTCCTTGTTATATCATATATGTAGTTTAGATACTATATTATCACCCTGAGTATCAGGACCTGAACTAAAGGCCAAAAATCATTTCCTTACAACCACTACTACTGTTCTCCTCGTTCCGAAAAACTACCCACTTCTCTCTGCCTTGCAGTAGGGGGCTACAATTCCCAACCTGCATCGCTTAATGTTTGTTCAAGCAAATGCCCTTTTTGTGAATTAAATCTTTGACTGGAATCCTACCTGTTTAGGGACTTTTGTTTTGCTGGAGCTTGAGTCATTGGGGTTACCGTATTGAGTGGTACTGTTTATAAGCAATCCATGTACCTTTATGGTTTGTAGAACCTATATTTGGGTTTGTAGATGTAAAACATGATTGGACTTTGTTGAATGGTTTTTTGGTCAACGGAAGTCTGGGAACCCATATATTGATTTTGAGTATGGATTTGAGTGAAGTTGTAATCTACGTAATCTTTCTCTTAGCCTTTTTTTTTCCTTGTTATATGATATATGTAGTTTAGATGCAAGGATCAAAATATTGTTTCGAAACGGTCGAAACATCCGAAACGTTTCCGTTTCTAAAGAGACCGAGACCCAAACGAATCAGTAATGAAATCAAAATTTTAATATTTCGAAGTGTTACATAATGTTTCGAAATATTTTGTTATATTTCAATGCATTTGCACAATTATTTTGAAATGTTTAAAGGTAATTCTATTTTAAGATATTTTGGTATATTTCGACTAATGTTTGAAAAAATAAATTTTTAATTTTTTTCATTATATTTTTGAAACGGGTCGAAACGTTTCCAAAATACGTCGAAACGTTTCCGTTTTATAGGTGACCGAAACAATGCACCGAAACGAAATTTTGATCTTTGTTTAGATGTATATTATCACCGAGTACCAGGACCTGAACTAAAAGGCCAAAAATCATTTCCTTACAACCACTGCTAGTGTTCTCCTCATTCTGAAAAACTACCCACCTCTCTTTACCTTGCAGTAGGGCACTACTATTCCCAAACCTGGGCTGACCTGCATCACTTAATGTTTCTTCAAGCAATGCCCTTTTTGTGAATTAAATCTTCGCCTCTTATATAGGCTTGGTTTTGCATCAAGTGCCCAAACCATCTTAGGTTACTAGCTTTCATCCTCTCAGTTGGTGTTGCATAATATTGAACAGGTCATGGGCTTAATATAATGATGTTACATAAAGTGATGCCCCCGTGATTATGGCAGCTCCTTTATATCAACTACTTTCTTTAAAGATTATTTGACAATGGTCCCATGGGTGAATCATGAATGAATTGTTTTATTAATCCAAGTCTAATTAGGGGTTTTTCCCATATTATGGCCATGTTGTTTATATAATGTTTAGAGTTCTAGGAATGTTATATGGGTCTTATGGTGTCCAATGACTGGTGGGCTCAATTTTAGATTACTAATCTTGTATAGGACTCTGGTTTGTCATTAGGAAGCTTAGGTTTCTATTGTTTGAATTGAGGATGTGTTCAATATATTCACTGGTGGGTGGCTTTGGGGTTATTAGGATTGTACAAGGCTTAAATTGGCCTTTGACCCTAAAAAACACCCAAAGTACAAGATAATGAAAGCAATATGATGGGCTTGTAATTGTAACTTTCTCAATTACAGTAAATTTCCAAACCCTTCACATTGTGCAATTTTTTTTCTTGCTCTAAGTTTTGCGGATGAAATAAACTATGCTGTAGGTTCATGTCTGGTGAAACGCCTAGTTTGTTTGGTGATTGATGAGGCTCATCGGGCATCAGGAAATTTTTCCTACTGTGTAGCAGTTCGTGAGGTTTGTCACTTCTTTTCTTTCCATCCATCCTTAGTTATAGATTGTATAAAACATGAGCAATGTTTTATAATGCTTGGTGTCTACAAAGTGGATGTCCAATAATTCCTTCTACAGTCACTTTAGATTTTAAAAATGTGTGAAAATGGTCCACAAGGTAAATTTCTCTGCTAAAACTCTTCTCGCAATGTTAACTGTGCTCCCAATTTTTGGAGAGATGGCCTTATGTTTTTTTTGGAATTTCTATTTGTTTGTGCAGAGTCTCTCTCCTCTTTCCCTCTCCCCCTCTCTCTCTCTGCCAATGACACATAAAAACATTATTTATTTTAAAATTTTTTGGAAGAATCATTGCATTTGCAATTCTCTAATTACATATTATCGTTGTGTGTAGTTATTTTAGTGTGTCTTTTTGGATAAATTTAATTGATTTTTTAAATCATTAACGATGCATAGAATTTGCAGTTGATGGCCATTCCTGTGCAGTTCAGAATATTAGCTTTGACTGCAACACCAGGATGTAAGTTACCTATCATCCTATTTGGTTTTCGTATTTTAGGCTGATATGATGTCATACATATCATTGTCCAATGAGTGGTGGAATGTCTATGCTAACACCTGAAAGGTTGAGTTCAACTCTGATAGCAATCATGTCCAAATTTGGTAATGGCCTTCTTTATGATATCTTACATCCTTATGTTAATTGAAAATTTTCAGCTAAGCAGCAGGCAATACAGCATATCATCGATAATCTGCAAATATCTACACTTGAATATCGAAATGAAAGTGACCCTGATGTCATTCAATATGTACATGACAGAAAGATTGAATTAATGGAGGTACATACTAATTTATTTCTGCTAATGAATAAATTTGATCCAGCTTTCATGTTGATTTAAAATTATTATTCATAATGGTGCTAGGTTCCTATGGGCCAAGATGCTGTTGAAGTATATAATTTGCTCTTGGAAGTAATACGCCCATATGTTGCTAGGCTTTGCGCGATTGGAGTTCTTCAGAATAGAGACTTTCGGACGGTATGGGCTTTATTTGAGAATTGTTTGAATTCTTGTTAGGGATGTAAATATTTTGTTTAGTTTGTAATTCTTTGCAGTTTTCCTTCCATAAAATGCTCTTATGGATATGATACATGCAAATACTGTGTAAAATTTGATTGGATATTCGAGGCAAAAGAAAGCTGTGAAATTTTATCTCAATGACCCAATTTAGTTCAGTATCAATAATTGTCTTGTTTTTCCTATTTTATGCACCTGGCTTCACAGAACACGTGGGAGGTGACAGCCACACTTCCTGTTTTTGATGAGACTGCAACTTTAGACACCTTGTATCCATGTTTATGCACCAGTTGCTGTCAGTTACTCGGTTTCATTTTACTTTTTTGTAAAAGGTTTTTTCAAACGTCCAACATTTGTGAATTGCATTGGTATTTGTTCATGATGAATTTAACCTGGAATTAGTCTCATTTTTCATATATGTTGAATTCTCATTAAGAAAACAATTTTGAAGAGGCAAGAACACCGGCAGGCATGTCATTTGTGGTCTGCTCTAAATTGAAACTTATAATCAGATATGAAGGTGCTGCCTATATATAATTGCTGTATACCACTAACATGAATGTCTTTTAGTTAATAAGGGGCAATTGTAGGACAGGGATAGTATTTAATCATATTCTGTATAATTTTTGGTGATAGGGTGTGACAGGACTTTTTTGTCAAGTGTGTATTGCTCAATTTCTGCATTGTGTACAATGGATCACTTTAGTTTTTGGCCTTTTGCTTTCTTCACCTAGCCTGTTTAGGTTGCATTAGTGAATTGGCTCGTACTTCCATAGGTTCCTAAAAACTAGTATGTCTATTTGTGTTTATATGACCAATCCTTTCTTAAAAATTGTCCTTAATAATTGACAGTTGAGCCCATGTGATTTACTCAATTCAAGGGACAAATTTCGTCAAGCTCCCCCACAAAACCTGCCTCACATGAAATATGGAGAAGTAGAAGGATATTTTGGAGTTCTCATTACACTGTACCATATCCGGAAGTTACTTTCAAGCCATGGAATAAGGCCAACATCGGAGATGCTTGAAGAAAAGATGCACCAAGGGTATGACCTTCTTCAACCTCATAGAAAGCACTTCTTGATTTCCAAAGTTGCAAACTACAGTAAACTGAGTTTCTTAATGCAATCATTTTTAATTCAATTAGGCGATCTATTTCAACACTTATTCCACTGTAAAGTTACTAGCATAACCATTCAGTGAAATTTTTTTAATATACAACTTTTGATTTTGATAACAGTAAATTGAGAGAGAGAGAGAGAGAGAGAGAGATGTAATTGAATAGGAAGAGTAAAACCAAAAAACCACTTCAATTAATCATATAGAGAGAGTTATATAGTTACACATATCGAATAGGGTAATGACCCTATTGCCCCTGACTCACTAACACTCCTCCTCAAGTTAGACTAAAGATATCCTAACGTGGAACAAAGAATACCAATTTTATCTCTACTAAGTGAGTTGGATAAAATATCTGGCAACTGATCTTAAGACCGTACAAATCACGTTGAATCTTTTCACAAACAAAGTGACAATTAATCTCAATATGTTTTGTTCGTTTGTGAAAAACTGGATTCGAAGCAATATGAATTTTAGCTTGATTGTCACAAAATAATTGCATTGGAGTATCAATTCACATGTAGTTTGAGCCATTGCCCTATATTCTGCCTCAGCACTAGTTCGTGATACAATACTCTTGTTTCTTATTTTTTTGGGTCATCAAATTTCCTGGATGTACAATATCCTGTAGTAGACCTTTTATCTGATGGGAAACCATCCCAATCCGCATCAGTAAAACTGGTTCCCAGTAAATGCCCTTGAGCTCTATATAATAATCCTTGACCAGGAGTCTTTTTTAAATATCACAAGAATCTAATCACAACATCCAAATGAGGTACTCTTGGAGTTTCCATAAATTGACTTACAACACTAATCACAAGAGATATTTGGCCTTGTAATAGTCAGGTAATTCAATTTTCCCATTAATCGTTTATACCTTTCTCGATGCTTGAAAAATTCTCCCAGTTCTGTGGTCAGTTTTGTATTAGATTCTATGGGAGTATCAACTGGTTTTGTACTAATAAGTCCTACTTTAGCAAGTAGATCTAGCACATAATTGCGCTGCGATTGACTAATACCACTCTTGGATCTAGTTGCCTCAATTCCAAGAAAGTACCTCAACTTACCTAGATCTTTAATATGAAACTTTTACTGCAAGAATGCTTTTAGAGTAATAAAACCTTCACTATCACTCCCCGTGATAACAATATCGTCCACATAGACAACTAAAACAATCATATTAGACTTAGAATTCTTACTAAACACCTAGTGGTTGGTATGGCATCGTTGAAGTCCAAAGTCTAACACTGTTTCACCAAAATTTGCCAAACCAAGCTCGAGGTGATTGTTTTAGGCCATATTTGCCTTCCTTAACCAGCATACCTGACCATTAAACTCTCCTCGAGCAACAAACATAGGTGGTTCGTACATATAAACGTCCTTGGTTAAGTCACCATGTAAAAAAGTATTTTTGACATCTAATTGAAAGATTGACCATTGAAAATTGGCTGTTAGAGAGATAATAATTCGAATAGATGAGATCTTTGCAACTGGTAAAAAAGTTTCATCATAATCCACACTATATGTCAGAGTAAAACCCTCGACAACTAATCTGACTTTTAATCTCTCAATGGAACAATTAGGCAAATATTTAATAACATACACCCATTGACAACCAACTAATTTGTTCTCAGGATGAAGGTTGACAAGTGTTCAAGTTTGGTGGTGATGTAGAGCAGTGAGCTCGTTTTCCATAACTTGACACCATCTAGATGAGCAAGAGCTTCATGAATAGTGTAGGGAACAGTTGACAAAATAGATGAAGTAAAACAGCGAAAGGTGGAAGCTAAGCTATCATGGGAAAGACTTTGTTCAATAGGATGAGTGGTAGAACTCATGATAAGAGTACACGAGTGCTTACTTTTTTGAAGTGCAATAGGAAGATTGCCATCCACAGATGGCAGGAGATCAAGACTTTCAGATGACTGAGAGAGTGGCAGAGGCATTGGAACAACAATCTTTTTTGCAATGGGAGTACACCAGATTGATAAGAGGTTTTGCAAGATTGGAGAAAGTGGGTGAAGATATAACTGGAAGAGGCAAAGGAGGGGACACTGATCAAGTGCAACATCATTTGAAGAAATGAGAAAAAAAGGAACGGACTCGAAAAATGTAACATCAGCACAAACAAATTGACGACGAAGTGTTGAATTATAGCACCTATACCCTTTTTGTGAGAGTGAATAACCCAAGAAAACACACTTGACCGATTTAGGATCAAGTTTGTTTGTATCGGAATGTAACTGATGAACAAAGGTTACACAACATGTGATGCCCCAAAATCTGGGAATTGTTTTTCAACTTGTTGATCATTCATCAACTCGTAGAAATATATTTGTATAGCTCGATACTACATCGTTACACTCCATTTACTAGGGTCATAACCACAAAAGAATCCGTGCAGTCTTTTTTGTACCGGAGCACTACCCAACACGTAACCTATTCACATATGAACTATATGATCATTCGAAGGTCCAAACTCCATGGTTAGAACTTATCATCCTCCATTGACAACATCTCAAGAGGATTGTTCAAGAACTGAAAGCTCTTTAGTGTTATACTTTAAAATTTTAAATTCTGGGAAGAAGTACCAGTACCTTTAGTACATGGTATTGGTACTTGGGCCTTCTAGTTGCCAAATATCGGTACCTATGTATCTTGATATCGGTACCTAAGCCCATTGTTTGCTAGGTATTGGTTCTTATGTGTCTTGGTACCGGTACTTGAGCCCATTATCCATTCGAGTATCGTTACCTGATACCTAGGTACCGGTACCTGAGCTCACTGAAAGCCAGATATTGGTGCCTTATAAGTCTAGGTACCGGTACCTGAATTATTCGACAGTGTAGTACCAGTACTTAATCACTTAAGTATTGGTACCTGAGCCTAGATTTTTCCCAAATCTTTCCAGTTCAACTCTTAACCATCCAAACTCATACAACATTCATCCATTCATTCATTTACATCAAAATGTTGTTCAAAGAGTTCATTACATATCCCCTTTATACAAATTTACAAGTACAAAACAATTTAAATATTTGTTTTCAAAAATGCAATTTAAGAGCCACATTTCGGCTCCATCATCAACACGGGCCCAAGTGAGGGTCGTCCACCAGCGCTTGTTCAACACCTAAAATATATTTCTATAAAAGGTGAGCCGATGCTCAATAGAGTATTTCCTAAGGATGTTATTCCCCAACTTAGATGCATGTGAAATGTCACATGTAAATCAATAAATCAAACATCCATTCAAATCAATTCATTTCTTAAATGAATGCTACTAATCCATGCCATGCCTTAAGATGAAACTAACATATGCAATGCAAACTCGAGCCCTCCATTGGCTCTCACAACACATGTCATGTCATGTGTATGCATCCGGGCATTCCAAGTCCCCGCCATTGATGTTAAGCATACAAAGACCATTTTATAAAAATCCTTGAGTCTTTTTTTGGGGTGAGTATTTATGGACTTTCACCAACGGATATCCAACTGATACAACATCTATGGACTTCTACCAATGACTCTGCATACCCTGACACACTTTATGGACTTAATACCAACGGGGGTGCGTATTCAAAATTACCAAGTCTTGGATTCGAGAGAGAATCTAGTTTTTCTTGCTAACTCCGACTTTTGTTTTCTACGCAATTCGAGCGACTCAGTCGAACTTAGGTCCAAACTTTTCGAGCCCACGTATCACCCATCAAGGATGTTTTATCAAAATCATGTTCGCACACCACACTCATGTCATGTCGAATGCCCACGAATACAATGCTACCCGTGCATATGTAAATGTAATGCATAATTGCAATTATGATAACATGTTCATCATATCATGAGCATATTATGAACATATTCGCTCTCCACAAACATTTTCAATTTTCAATGTCAATTATTATAAAGCCTATAATTACATTCCACCAAACATGTTATATCATTTTCATTTATATAACATACTTAATCATTCTTAGGTATTTTATCAAACACCTATTAGCCACAAAGATTATGTAACACATAGTATGCCCAAAGTATCAGATTCAACATGAAATTCACAACTAAACAATGTCATCAAAGCCCAATTATGCAAGATTTGGTTTAACCATATTCTTATATCCATTTTCATATTCTAATAATCCTAGATATGTGTTATACATGAGAGTTCATCTCTAATACCCTACCTATTTTATATTTTAACCTAGATTAGAAATAAACCTAATTAGGAAATGAACCCTACCTCTCGTAGCGTATATTTGCGTAGGAGAAGCTCCAAAGACCAAAATCAAAGCTTCCAAGCTTTGATCCCAAAAATCCCGTATTCAAGATTGCGTCAAAACTTGCGATCTTTAGTATGTATGTGTAGCTCTCGTCACGTAGAACAACTTTTGTTCTTGGCCAGAAGGGATTTGACGATCGAATCGCTATAAATTGGAGGTAGAAAATGGAAGAACTGTCGAATTTTCTCTCTTTTTCCTCTTTCTTTTATGAAAAATACAAGTTTAAAATGGGGAGCAAATATGATTTTCTCCCCTTTTTATACTCTCCAAATACTTGGTACTCGTTGCACAACACGTCTCGCTTCAATTGGTCCAATTTGATCCTGTACCATTTAAATTTTTTTCCGGTTTAAGTTTAGTACATTTTATTGCATTAATTTTAAATTTTTTCTTGAGTTTCGCGAATAAAATCTAATTACGTTTGTTTTAGTCGTGTGACTCTCGATCGTATTGTAATATACAAAAAATCTGGTTGTCTCAAAATTTGACAAAAATTGACTGGGTAGTTAGATTTCGCGGGACAAATCTAACGGCGAGATCCGTTTTGTTTTTCAAGTTTTTGAAAAATTCGGGTTTCTAACTTATACTGTAATAGCTAATTATTGTTTTGTCTTTTGTAATAAAAATTTAATTTTTCTTGGGTTTTTCACAATCAATGACACGTGGGGGAATAGAGAACAAAAGATGATTAAGAAATACAATGGAGTAGGGAATTTTGACTATTCAAAACTGACGAACGCATCTGATTAATGAGGTAGCATGCAGTAAGTACAACATCACTCCAGAAAATTTTAGAAACTCATATGA